ACACGCACACACACACACACACACACACACACACACACACACACACACACACACACACACACACACACACTCAGACACACACGCACACACACACACACACTCAGACACACACACACACACACACACACACACACACACACACACACACACACACACACACACATATATATATAATATTTCATAGCTGTGATAAAAAAAAAAATCTATATCTATTCCTCAGTATATGGCATGTTCACGTTCTACAGTATACATCCCTTCCCACATTTAAACTTAAACTGAAGCATGAATTTACTTACAAATCCACCAAGAATAGCTAACAGGGGATTCTGTCTCTTGTGCTTCATGATGGCTGAAATAGAGATTGAAAATGAAATGAAATGGAAAAGATACGAAGAAAACTATATGGTTATGTAATTGATAGCGAAGGTAGTAATGGTAGCATTCATGTCGATAGGGAATGAGATGATCATAAAAATATAACGATCGTTCTCATTATTAGTGTTATGATTGTGTTCATTATTCTTTGTAATTGCTGGTACGGTGATAAAGGGTTTCATTCTGTTGTTACGATCATTATTACCAAAATTGTTGTTGATATTATCAGTATATTATTATGATTATTGTAATTATCCATATTATTATTATTATTACCATTATTATATCATCATCACAATAATAAAGATTATGATGATGATGACGACGACGACGATGATGATGATGATGATGATGATGATGATGATGATGATGATGATGATGATGATGATGATGATGATGATGATGATGATGATAATAATAATAATAATAATAATGATAGTAATAATAATAATAATTATTATTATAATCATCATAATAAAGTAATTGTAATCATATCATTTACATCATAATGATAATAAAAAGTGATAATTGTGATTATGATAATATAAACAATTTTGATAACTATTACAATACTAATAATGACACTACTACTAGTACTAATAACAATAATGATAGTAATTATCATGATAATAATGATAACAATGACGATGATAATAATAATAATAATAATAATAATAATAATAATAATAATAATAATAATGATAATAATAATAAGTATAATGATAAGTGTAATAATAATGGTAATAATACTTACCATAAAAGGAATAAAGATAATAACAGTGACAATGATAGTAATGATTAATAACAAAAACAAATAGTAACAATAATAATAAAATGGAGAACAACAATAATGATAATAATAATAAGGCTTGCGTTTGTAATACACAATGAAACAATGCGATGCACATACCTTCCCAGTTCTGTGAGTAGATTGGTCCAGCCAACATTGCAGTTGCCAGTATTGCAATTAGAATCTTCATGGTTACACCTAATGACCTGGATGAAAATAGAATCGTTATCATTAATAAAGTTTTAGTGATGGAGAAATTGAATATATCGAAGTGGTTGCAATTTAAAGCTTCTCCCTTTTTTTGATTTTTTTTTTTTTAAATATTCTGCTATTTGAAAATTCTTGAAGATTCAGGTCATCACAGCATGGCGCATCCACTGTTGATATGGAATAAGAAGTTACAGGGAAATAGAATGTATTGAACAGTAAATTGAGCTAAAATAACGACGTTTTTTTAAAGCATAAATGGTCTCAATTGCTCTTTTTTAAAACCCATGTTGCACAGAGACTAATCATGACAAAACATAGAATGGATGAATTAAAAATCATCCCCTTTCCCGGTCTTTATAATGAATTCGTATTTGTCCTGTAACATATCCCACAAACTACTTGCCTCAGATAGATCAGACAAACACGTAATTGCATATGATTATGAGAGAGAAAACATTATTACCAACCAATGAAAATAACAATACACTCTAAATACTAAATATGAAATACGATTACCAAGCAACGCACCAGAGGGAGCGTCTACTGCCCAAGAGGATGGAGACGCTACTGGGTGGGCGCCATCCTGTTTGAACGAAGTCCTCCAAGGCAAATCCACACTGCCATTTTTTTCTGTTCTGTACAAATCCAAGACAGACAAGTGCAAGGAGGTCACCAGAGAATCTACATAGAAGATTGATACTCACATACCGAAAAAAATGTATTTGTTTTGTAATTTTTGAAAATTACATTTGATATATGAAACTCAAAATCATATACATTGTAGAAATAAGGCAATACAGCCTTTTAAAACTCTAGAGCTTCATTCGCATCACACACGCAAAGGAAGCGTGAACTCTGACCTTGCCGTCCCGTCCCGTTTCTGAGCAGAGGAGCTACTCACTACTGCCACGCACTTCAATTCATGTTATATATGCAACATGATAATTTCACCTTCCAACTTCACTGACTTCAAAAACCTTTAATACACATGGCTTATAATGCCTTCTGATTGGAATAGATTAAACGGCAAAATCCGATTAGTGTAGGCATATTACGGGCATGATGGTTGCGGTAAAATCTATTGTATTTGAAAATGTTGATATTTTGTTATGCAGAGAGTATCAT